GGGGGGGAGATATGGTGTGAATGGGGATGTAGTTCAGTGGCAGAGTGCTTGCCTAGCATGTATGAGGCTCTGGGTTCAATCTCCAATACTGCCAGAATAAACAAACAGAATCCCCCATGGCCTTTTACAGTTCATCATTTGAAACTGACTTATTTGGTTTTAAAATGAATTTGTTCCATCAATGTTTTTGCCCCGATACTGGGAATCAGAGTCTCAAGGAGGGAGGCAGGGTAAGCTGTGAGAAAGGCCCCTGCCCAGGAGAGGACTGTGTGGTCCCAGCAGATTCAGAGGAAGGCTGGTGGATGGTGGAGTAGACAAACACGGTGGGACCATTCCTAAGCTGCAGTGAGCTTTCTCTAATGGGGTGGGGAGGAGAAAGCTCAAGAAACTGGAGGTAACTGGCAGAGCTGGGTATCACTCTCTCCTTTCAGCAAGGCTCATRATTGCCAACCAGAGACGACCTTTCACAGCTTCCCTTGAAGGCAGAGGTTGCTGCTTGACTAAGCTAATTAAGGTCGATAATGAAGCTAAATAAGTACAAGGAATGTGTGAAACTTCGGGGCTGTGGTCTTAAAGAAGCACTTCTTTCTTTCTTGGTGGGCTGGAATGTAGACATGATACTAGAGACTGAGTATTGACCAGGGACCAGGACCATCCAGAGATTGAGGGAGCAGAAAGTCCCTGCATGACTTCATGGCTCAGGCCACCCCTTCCTGTCCCTCTGATTCTTTGCTTGAGAGGAAAATAGGCTGCTAACTTTGGAGCCATGTGTTTGGGGGTCTGTTACATGAACTTAGTCAACACTCTAATTAAAACTTGGCTTCTCCGTGGTGACAGAGAAAGAAAAAAAAATGGCATTAGTTCTTTTTTGGGTATTGAAACCAGTATTTTAGTCACTGTTGGCTTCTTTAGAAAATARAAGGTTTTCTTAATTTGGGAAAACAAAATGGACAGATAGATTCAAGGCTTCTTTCCTAATGGAAACTCTCTATGTCCATTCCTTRATGAACCCTCCTCACCCAAGGTGTTTAATCTTGTTTGCTGAGTCACTTTCTAAGTTAGCCTGACCTCCTCCAGTGATGGRTAAACTACCTCATCTCATCTTAGGGTTTACTAGAAAGTTTTTCCTCACATTAAGATGAAACCCTCTTAAACCTCCCAGTAAACGAATTTCTTCATTTGAAAGTTCTTCAAGTAGCTGCAGGTTACCATGTATCATTCTCTAACAGCTAGTTAACTAAGAATACCACAATCCCTGGGGAGTTGGTCTTCTGACAACACCAAATAAGGGAATGGATACAACTTGTCCCCCGAATGGGCCCCAGGATCTGGGGTAAGATCTTGCAACCTGGAGCTAAGACCCTGCTCTAGTAACAGTGCTCTCTCTGGTCCAGGCCCAGAGTTGAGGGGCGCGGGTTCGGGCTGAAGCTGCCAATCAGAAGACGGGTGGAGCTTACCTGTGGCGGGGCTGAGGGCGCAGATGTTCCTGGATCCGCAGGAGGGACCTGCCTCTGGCCTAAGGGGGATGRGAGTGCTGACGTCAGGGCGAGATGGAGCCTCCGGTTCCGCCCCCGCCCCTCCCCATCTTGCGGGAATCCTGAGGATGTAAGGCGGCGGCGCAGGGTGGGGGTGGGGGGAGTCCTGCTCCCCCAGAACCTTCGGTAGGGTCACCCGCCAGCCACCAGCTTCCGCTCACCGGCAGCGTTAGACTCTGGAGCGCGCCGRGGGCAGGCGCTGTAGATGTTCTGGGAGCGCGGCCGCTGCAATCTGGGCCGCTGCTCCCGGGGCCGCTGGGAGGCCTCCAGGGCGCGCATCCTCAAMGCCATTCGGCGGACCCGCCTGGAGAAGGCTTCTCCGTGATGACCGAGAAAGAAAAAAAATGGCATCAGAGGCCCGAAGCCAGCTTTCCTCTCCTTCCCCAAACTCAAGGCTKCTCCCTCCTCGATGCTTGGCGACGTCAGACCTATAGATGCTCAAAGTGTGCGGGACACTAGATGGATCGTCTTACCCTCTCCTGAAGACCAAAGGTCTCAGGCCGCCCTCCTCCTCGTACCCATTCCCAGGTCACTGACCTTCGCCCCACTTCCCTACACCCCAGGCTACTCATCGCTATCTTCCGGATTTTTGCTGCAAAATCAAGCAGAGATCAGARCCGTCTGGGAGCTTAGCTTTCCCACCCCAGCCCAGAGCCCAGCTGCTCACCTCTCTTCCTTTGAATCGCTCTTTTTACCACCAGCCCCAGAAGGGCCAGCAGGAGAAGACCCAGGACAGTTGGGATCAGGATGTGAAATCCTTGATCCTCCCTTCCAAACTCTGAACCACGGTTGAATTCTCTGGGGAGGGAAGGAATGGGAGAGAGAAAGAGAAGGTAGTAAGGGAGATAGGTTTAAAGAAGCACTTTCTTGTGGCAGACTTTTTAAAGACAACTCTCAGACTTGTTCCTTTGTTAATAGAATTCTTTCCACTCCCCCCCAAAGACTCTTGTCTGTGGAGTCAGTAAACTGGGGTTCAAACTCAGATGTACCTTTTCCTGGATTCGTGACTTTGAACAAATCTCTAACTTCTCTGAGCCTCATTTCCCCACAAATCTGTATCATTTTCATTTTTGCAGAACTGTTATTAAGATGATACAAAATAGTGGATATGAAGAATTTAATGCTCCTGGCCTACAGCAGGAGATGATAAATGCCAGTCCCTTGCCAACACTGTGCACCTTGGTTTACTCACATGGTTATTGAAAATATTAAATAAGCTATAGTGTTGTTGTTTTTTTTTTTTTAACTAGGGATTGAACTCAAGGGCTACTGAGCCACATCCCCAGATTTAGAGACAGGGTCTCACTGAGTTGCTTAGCACTTTGCCTTTGCTGGGGCTGGCTTTGAACTCATGATCCTCCTGTTTCAGCCTTCAGATCCGCTGGGATTCCAGGTGTGCACCACTGCACCTGGCTTGAGCTAGTTTCTTATTACTACGAAAAAGATGTTTTTCTGAGTGCTCCCTCTTCCCTTTGTTTTCTGTACATACTGAAATCTTACTTTTCTGGAAGGGGTAATGCATAGTCCTCTTTTCTTCCCCAATTGTGCCAAGCCAAAAGAAATCTCATATATTTCCAGTTCTCATGTTCTTGCCCATTACAAACTTGATCACGGACCCCAAATAGTATCAGGGGTTCTAGTATTATCTGAAATCACTTAGCTCTCACAGCCTGTTTCCCTATTTATAGAACCCCAAATAATGTTGGAAGTCCCTTTCCTCATTAACGTGTTTGTGATTGCTTAGGCATAAAAAATTCCAATATTAGAGATTTTCTTTGCCACCTGCTATAGTGCTACCACCTAGTGGTTAATTGCTGCCTTCCTTCAACTGCACCTGAGTCTTCAGGCTGGGGCTGTCCACTAGCAATGTAAGTCACATATGTAATTTTAAATTTCCTAGTAGCCACATTTAAAAATGAAACAGGTGAAAGTAATTCAGACACTTAATAGCTTATTAGTTCATTTGATTCTCATTTAATTTTCCCCCATCAAAACAGAGTTGAATGATTCTGAATGTGAAAGACTTGAGTCTATTTCTTTCTACACACTCAGTGCTAGAACATTAAATGCTAATGAGATTCATACCTGCTATATTCATAGGTAGTATATTTCACAGTGGTCTTCTACAGACAAGATTAAGAAGGGTCTCTAATAATGGATGTTGCAGGAAGATTTTAGTGGATCTCTTGACTCTTGCCTACTTTACCTGGCTTTGAAACCATCATGGATGATGGGGGCCTCTTACCTCTGCCCATGCAACCTAGTGTGCTGCTTGTAGCTGGCCCCTGGGGGCCTGAGCAGCCCCTCCTGAGTTGAAGTCTTTGATGTTGTGGTGGATGGCAGAACGGTTGAGGGCTTGGCAGCTGCTACTGAGAATGCTCTGGATTCTCGAGGATGATGAATTATTGGTGTGGTGGGGGAAGGGTGGGGCTCTGGAGGGTCGTCAGTCCCTTGGGTTGGTGTGGTAACTGCAGGAGATGAAAGAAAAAGGGACCTTCCATATACACTTTACTCTAGTCTCCAGAGGCACTGGGCCACTAGCTCTTTCTTCAATACATTCTTCTCTTTTGCCCAGACTACATTTGTTCCTAGGGTCCTCATGGCCTGAAGTGCCTTCAGAGCATACCACCTCTATGCAATCAATTCTGTATTGGCTTCGAATACCATTTCCTCCAGGAAGCTCCCCATCTCATGCCTTCCCAGGAAGAAGAGCTTGCCCTCCTGTGAGCATGGGGAGACCTTGTTTGTAGTTCTGTTCTCACTCTGCCTTGTGCTATTTTTGTTTATTTGTTCTCCCCCATCACACACCTATCAGTAACAACCATAGCTCTATGAACTTCCCAATTACACTATTCCTTTTGGCCATCAACAGGGTCCCCTCATGTAATAATATTCAATTAATATATGCGAGGATATGATGGAAATATTAACACGTCATAAATGCATTTAAAACTAGAAACATACTGAACTATGAAAGTATTGTTAGTATAATAACCATTTATCTTTTAATTGAAAAAWAGAGTTGTTAAAATCACTAGACACCAGCAGGTAGAATACAACCCTGTGGGCAGCAAGAAGACATGATGACCTCCAGCTGGGAAACGTCTGCCCAGTCATGGGTTTGGCAGTCATTCATAAAAAGAGCTGATTTTGTGAATGGAGCACACGCTCCATTGCTTGTGGTGCCACCTAGTGGTGATGTGCAAGTTCTGCAACTATGTCAGGGTGTCGTGGCTTTAGGATAGGCTTGGAGGATGTAAAAGCAGGTCTGTTGGGCTCTGCTCTGCTGTGCTCTGCCACTCATGGTGAGCTGGACACCCACCCACCTCCCTCCTCCGTTTCCACAGTGCTACAGCATCTTCCTCATCTCTCTTACTCATGCTTTGATGGACTGACCTTTGGATGTGGATTCAGAAGAACTGGCATGTGCAACCATCTGGAGCCAAGTGGGCATCCGCTGCTCCAGAAATTTATGAAACCATTTTGGAGGCTCAGATATCAGCTCCTCCTCCCAGAATGGATTGTACTCTATTGGAAGCAAGGAGATTATGTTGATGGTATCTGGAGGAAAGACAGGCCTGGAAAAGGCACTGTTGGCGTAAGTAAAAGCTGACTCAGACAAGGTAAAATGGCAGTGAGGGCATGAGAGCAGCATTGCTGGAGAGGAGCAGAAAAGAAGCTGGTCTTGGGGCCTCCCTGACAGAGCACTTTTTCTCCTAGCACAGATAATATGCCCTGAAAAACCATCAGACACTATTGGGACTGTGAACTGTTGAATTAGTTGCTGCATTTSTGTAGGAAATCACTGGAGAAGAGGAGAAAGGCTGGATGCATGAGAAATAAAGGACCAGACCAGACAGTAACAAATCTGGCCTATAAATATGCCTTGATAAGTGGGTGTATTTCCTTTATATTCATCTCTGATATATCTCATGGAACAGTTATATATGACGGTTATGTCCTTGGCTTCCAGTTTTCACTGGTGCTCAAACTCATGTCACCTCTCCCCTTGAGCCCTGGGTGGGACAGGCGACACAAGGTCAGCATCTCTTATCCTTTTGCCTACTGTGGATAGACAGTTCTGTGGGTCAGGAGGTTAGTGGACTATGAAGTTCAACTCTGTGGATGCTAATTGTTATTGGGCTGGCTAATATGGCAATAGCATAGAAGTCTGGAGGACTGTTATTTAGGTGGCTGTTTCAATCTTCCTAAGTGGAGACATTTTCTGAGTGGGCTGAACCTGCCTGCAAGCAGCGGTGGCACCTACCACTGTGGACATTCAGGGTGACCTTCTGGGTCTTGCCCCGTTCTGTGTGCGTGCCCACTCCGCAGGCATAAACTCCACTATCACTCTCGGTCAGTTCTGTCATCTCCACTAGGAACAAATTCTTGTGTAAGCACGGCTTCAAAGTGACTCGACTGACATATTCCTTCTTGATGAAGTTATTGGATACCACCGTGGAACAGATTGCAGGTTTCACCATCTCCCGGCACAGATACATCCTCACGTTTATTTTAGGAAGCGGGCACTCGATGGTAATAGATCCACCCAGTTCTCCATCCAGCTTTACTTCTGGGAGGATCTTCAGAGCCCCACATACTGCAGAAGAAGGAGTTAATGCAGAGGGAGCCTCATTCCCAGACATATCCCCAACTCTAACTCTCTCCAACCCTAGCCCAGGTTCTAGCCCAGCCTCACTCCAAACCATGGCCCCATCCCCATCGCCAGTCCAACTTCAGTCAGTCCTCAGCCTCMACCTGTCATGATTTCTTCCCTTATCTTCATTCATCTTTTCCCTTGCCTAACCYGATTTACCACCTCAGGCCAAGTCCTTACACACCCGTCCCCCATGACCATACCTTAACTTAGCTCTTTGCCTCATCACTAAATCCATACCCATAAGGACCCAGACCACCCCTATGAGAATATGATCAAAACCACAACACCCACTTCAAGGAGAAATAATGTGCCTAGGGTGACCCCAAATGGCATATAGCCCCCAAGGGACTTCAGCCTGAGGCTGGGAGATGCAGGTCAGTTTTGCTGCAGTAGGTTTTCCTCTCCAGTTTTGTTTTGGTCATATTCATTCAGCCAGTCATTTATTCCAACAGTTCTCCATATTCAGTCATTCAGTAAGTGTCTACTGAATGCCTCTCATGAGCATCTCTCCCTTGCAGAACAATCATTTAGTGAGCAATACCAACAGCCAGCCAGTACAACACGGAGTGATCAATTCCGTGACAGAGAGCACAGTATTCCTTGGAAGGAGCAAGCAGGGGCCCCTGATCCAGTCTCTTTTAGGGGGTGGGGTAGTTAGAGGAAGGTTATTTGGAAGATGGGGTGTCTAAATTGTGATCTTAAGGAAAGGACATAGAGGGCAACTGAGAATCCTGATACTTGTCACCCAGTGGGGAGCTCAAAGGAGTGTGTGAGTGAATGCGGGTGGRGGTGTGGGCACACTGTGTGTTGACAGGGTGTGGAGCAGGAAGGGATAAAAGATGTGGGTTGCAAGAGTCTGACATTAAAAGGCTTGTGCTTTAGGTGAGAGGTCTCATGCAGCTCAGCCAGCTATAGAAGAGGGTAAGGCCTCAATGATTAATTATTAACTAAACAGGTCCCAGTAAGTGTCTAAATATTTTCAGGAAGAGGATTCATAAGGTAAAATGTGTGTGTGTGTGTGTGTGTGTGTGTGTGTTGGGGTGGGATGGGATGGGGTGCAGGGCTGCAAAGGAGAAGTCTTCCAGATGGTAAGAATGGTCCCCACCAGGGTGGGGATGCCAGAGAGAACAGAGCACATCTGTGGATGTGGATGGAGAGAACTCCTCCTGCTTAGGGAGATGCATCCCCAGAGCACGACTTCRGGATAGCTGCAAGGAGTTCAGTCAAATGAGTGTCAAGAAAAGCATCAGGAGAGCAGTGAGACTTGAGGATTCTGGGTCAGGACATCCCTGATGGGTAAAATGGGTAAATGTGGACAAGGGTAAAGAGGTGAAACCATCATGGGAGGAGAATGCAGACTACAGGGACTGGAGAGGGAACTCTACTGGAGCCCACTGAAAGTGTAGCCCATGTTAGCATGGTGGGAGAGCTGCAAGCATGAGCCCCCGCATCCTCTTGGGCCTGGGAAATCCTCCCCTCCTTCTAGGGAGAGCAACATCCCTTTTGCCCAGCTAGAATGGCGGTGCTGCTCAGGGGCAGACTGAGGTGGTATGATTTAAGCACTCTTTACACCTTTATATCTTCCATTCCCTGCCCCACCCCTCTGCCTTCTCAGCCTCAGTTTGATTAGCCATCCATCATACACATAYATCCCACTACCTCTCAGAGTGTCTGACACTGCATTAAAACTCCATTCCTTTGGGCTCTTAAGACTTTTCAATGCAACAATTATTTGAATTTATTCTATACTGAAGGCATCACAAAGAAAGAACTTTTGAATAAAAATCCATTTTGATCCTTAAGGAGCYTATCATTTAATTAACCAAATAAACACACACGGAGCCACAATATGAATGTCATCAGTATTCTGAGTTCAGAAGCGGGGACTCAGGAAAATCTTTGAAAAGCGAGTGGAGACTGAGGTGGACTTTAAGGAACTCATAAGAGGCGAAGGTGAAATGAAGGATGTTTCTGGTAGAAGGAATAACATGGGCGAGGAAGGGCAAGGTGGCASGGGAGTGTAGCACATGTTCAAGGAAGAGTCCTGTTTGGCTAGAGCAAAGTGCAGGAGAATGTGTCAATACATTGAAGGTTTTGCAAAGAACAATCCTATGACTAGAGTCAAGCTGTTGGAAGATTTACCTGATCAGGCTGAGAGGGTGAAAGTGGGAAAGATAGTTGAGAGARGATAGTTGTGCATTTGACCCCTTTCCTTTTCCTCTGTGACCTTGCTAGTAGAAGCTGCCACTGCTTCTCATTCTGGTAAGCTACACAAATTGGCCATTGATTGGACCAAACTCTGGTTGGGACTAAATGGGAAGAGGTGGTAAAAAAAAAAAAAGCCATTCTGGCATTTTGTGGCTGATATTAGAAACACTTATGGCAGATGAAATAGCCCATTTGGATGGGACCAATGAGGAGTCGGAGGTAAAGGGTTAAGTATGTAGCTGTGTCTCCGGTCTTTGTGGGTTGTTAAAGTGGGGTGTCCAAGAGACAGTTGCCAACTGAAATATGAAATTCAGAAAGTAGAATGGGACTGTTGAATGGATTAGGGAGTCCTCCTTTAGAGTTGAAAGCTGGAAATTCAGGAGTAAAAAAAGATCTATAGACAGAGAATATGGCARTAAGAAGAAAGATCTTTGGAGGCACCAGCTTTAAGATCCCATRATAAAGGTAGAAATGTCTAGGAAATGAGATACCTTCAGCCCTTGAGAATTAACAACTGGCTAAACAGTACCTGGAGTGGAGAGAGGAGCACTAGCAAGGAGCAGGGGTGCTCCGGTGACTCATGTGGCCTCCRTCCTTGTACTGGTTTGCAATTGAATCCATCAAGGAACATTAGGGAYGGAGATGCCTGGCGATTGATTGCCTGTGGCCACTTCATAAAAAGTGTGAAGTGTTTCCCCAGAGTACTTACCTGGCAGGAAGTAAAGTGACCAAAGCCAGAGGTCCATGGTTCTTTCCAAAGCCTCTGGAGTAGGAGCAAAGACCCACTGCCAACCTGAGAGCCCTTCACCATCGGGAGCTTGAAAGAGATTCTGGCCCCATCGAGGGGCAAAGGCTTGAAAATGAGGAAATGACAACCTGTCTTGTTTGCCAGCTAGTCTTAGCCTAAAAAAGAAAATACCAGCAAACCACAGCGGAAGTCAGGAATTGAGAAAACATGCTGTGTTGGGTGAGAATGGGTCACCAGGGTTCAATGGGCCTCTAGGAAGCTCTCGAGATTGTTAGCGAGCACCAGCCTGGTRTCTCTTTGCCTTCACACTTTTTCTTGGAGGGGCCTCCTGTGCTTTATATGTATCCATCAACTCCTGAGCTGAGGGCCTTTGCTTTACCCCTGTCTTCAGGACAAAAGAGCCTCATCTCCAATTTTTCCCATTGGATGGAAGCTGTGTGGACAGAGGTTTGGACCTRAAGCAGAAGATGCTGGTTGTGGTCCTTATCAGTCACCAGTTAGCTCATTTGAAGAATACCTTTGAGCACCTACTATGTGGAGTTGCCAATCATGGATCTGGGGCAATTCAGTACTTTTCTCTGAGTCTTGATTTCTTTTCTTTTCTTTTTTTTTTTTAAAAAAAGAGAGAGACAGAGAGAGAGAGAGACAGAGAGAAAAATTTAATATTTACTTTTTAGTTATCGGCGGACACAACATCTTTGTTTGTATGTGATGCTGAGGATCGAACCTGGGCCGCACGCATGCCAGGCGAGCATGCTACCGCTTGAGCCACATCCCCATCCCAAGAGTCTTGATTTCTTTACCTAGAAAATATATGAAGGTGGGACTAGATGACCCCTGGCATTTCCTCCTACAGAACATCATCCCTAGTTCACTCCGCCATCCCTCATCCCTCATTTCCCCCAGCTATCTCCATGAGGTAATTCCCTCCAGCAGGGACCCAGGCCACTATCCAGGGACCATAGGAGCAATGTCACAATCTAGTTTTGGGAAAGCTTTCCTGGACCTCAGTTTTCTCATTAAGAAAGTAAGGAGGGTCTCAGCCCTGCCTACCTCACACATCTTTTATGATGCCCAGCAAAAATTACAGATGTGAAAGAGCTTTAGGAGTCCTATTTCAAGTGGAGACGTGCTGCACTGTTACTGATCAGAGGGTTCCCAGGGCTTCAGTCCTTGGTGCTTCATTCCTGGATGTCAGTTCCCACCTCCAGGTGCTGCAGCCTCCTGTGCCCATGGAGGATTCACGCTATTCCTACACCATCTCAGGAAGGAGGCAGCTGACAGAGCCCAGGGCTCCTCAGGGGCTGTGTGCATCACAACCCACTCGCTCCCACACACCAAATTTGTCACATGCTCTCCAAAACAACAAGTTCCCCCAGTTAGGGGTCCATGGTGAGCAGGTGCAGAGGAAGCGTGTGTGGGCGGGTTGCCTGCCCTGCCCTGCCCTGCCCTGCCCTGTTCTGGCTAGATCTACACTGGCTCAGAGGAGCTAGGTCCTGCAAACAGCAGATGGGCCATGATGTCAGAGGCCTCTGTCAGGCTAGGGGGCCAGAGGTTTCAGCTGGGATCAGCTCCCACCCTCCCTCCTTAGAGGGCCCTTCAGTGCCCTGTAGCTGCCAGGCTCAGCTGTTTGCTGGGACTGTCTTGGGGACCCAGGGAGAAAAGAGGGAGGGAGGGTCCTAATATAAATGAGTGAACGTGATGTGTGTGGCTGTGGGTGTGAGAGCTTGTGGGTGTGAATGTGTGAGTGTGCACAAGCTGTATGGATGTGCATGTGTATTGTGAGATGCATAATTGTATAGTGTGTGTATGATGGCTACGAGTGTGTGAGTGTGCAATGTGTATTGTGTGATGTGTGGAGTGGGATGAGCAGTGCATGGCACGTGTGTGCATGAGTATGACGTGTGTATGAGTGTCTGCAAGGACCTGGGTGCACTGCGCTGTAGCCAGGCCTATCAGGTGGAGCTGGAGCTCTGCGAATGAGCCTGGGTAAAGAATTTCCCACATGTGTGGGCCCAATGAAATTTTTAAAAGCATCAYATGGGGTTAAGAGCAAGAATTGGGGTTCTGAAATGAAATTATGGCATTTTCCCAAAAATGAATGGAGCTGGAGACTGTCATGCTAAGTGACATAAGCCAATCCCAGAAAACCAAAGGCTGAATGTTCTTTCTGATATGTGGATGCTAACTCACAATAAGGGCGTGAGGTAGGGAAGAATAGAAATACTTTGGATTAGACAAAGGGGAATGAAGGGAAGGGAGGGGGRTTGGGAATAGGAAACACACTGGAATGAATTGGAGATCACTTTCCTATGTTCATATATGAATACACGACCAATGTCATTCCACATCATGTGCAACCAGAAAAATGGGAAGTTGTACTCCAGCTATGTGTGATATGTCGAAATACATTCTATTGTCATGTATAACTAAAAACAACAACAACAACAACAAAGAATTAGGGGTCTGAATACTGCCAGGCAGAAGGTAACTGGAGAGATCAAATTCCCACACCTTGGCCTGTACAGATACTACCTTGAGATGTTGTCCCAGGGTGTCTAGGGGCAGGGACCCTTAGGAAACCTGGCCTCTGGATAAATAATGCTGTTTACCATTCATATTCTCTTCACTCTTCTTTTCCCCATGTGAATTTCATCTCCTGATTCATGGGCTGCTGTGTTCCTGGCGTTCCTAGTCCCAGGAGCACACAAAAGGTGCAGGGGACTCAATGGCCAAACAGCTTCCAGGGACCAGAGGGGTGTATGTGAAGGAGAGCATTCAGGCCTAGAGGCATAGTCGTTCACTTTCCATGACCACCTCTTAACTGAGGCTTTGCTATCCGCCCCGTGTTACTGCTGGGCTCAAAGGAGCATTCTTCCTAAGGTGAGGGTGGCAAGAGGTGAGCCTTACCTGGGGCACAGCACACACCCTGGCATACAGTAAGAGTGAGTGGGGTTCACCATTGTCACTGGGTTGCATTTCTCTACCTTGGCCTTCCCCATATCTAGTTTCCAAAGGGCCATCTTCTGGGCCTGTCCACATGGAATGCCTCCATCCTCAGGTGGCCTTCCCTATGACTCAGTGCCCYTCTCTGCAGTGTCTGACCTTGAGAATCTCTGCTGGTGGCCTCTCCAGGGAGCCCCTCCCCACCAGGTGGAGGCACCTGCCTTAGGTATCCTGAACTTCCCTCCTTCCAGGAACTTGACCGTAGGCTTACTTGGCCAAAACATACAGGAATTCAGGGTGAATTATAATGTGATTCATCACCCCAGTCCTGGATTTTAGAATATTCACATTTCCATGTCCAGGATAAAGACTTTTGGCTTTAGTTAAGAGTGGATTGTAACTTCTTCTTTCTTTTCTTTCCAGTTCTGGTGATGGAATTCAGGGTCTTGGGCATGCTAGGCAAATACTTGACTACTAAGCTGCACCCCCARCCCAGAGCAGCCCTTTTATTTTTCAGCCTTGAAAGTGAAACTCTAGAGTTCTTGGCTCCTACGGCTGGATGAACTCTCTGTTCTTGTTTTAATTTCATGGCGAACTGGGGGCCATTGGCTTTGGTCCTTCATCTGCTCTCTTGGGTGCATGCCCACTGCCCACTGAGATATGAAGTCTCTCTGAGATGATCCCTCATTGTTTCTATGACACAGTMTCCCTAGCAGAGGTAATTGTTTTAGGAAAGCTAGTGAGGGGGTGGGGAAACACTGTTTCTTTGTATTGGGGACCAGCTTCATAGACCACAGCACGGGTGGTTCCTCACTGCCGTCTGTCGTTTTTAGGAGAGTTGTTCCGTCTTGAGTCTTGGAAAATTCATGAACGAGTTTTCTGTTTTGCTTTAAAAAACAAAGTCAATTGCTATAATATATTTGAAAATACTGTTGGACCTTAGTAATGCATAAGCATATCATTACCTAGCACACTTAAAAAAAAGTCAAGATAGTTCTAGAACTTGAGAAAGCTTTCCTTGTCATTAAATATGTAAGTAGCTCCCTGRGTGGCTGATGGTCACTGCTAAGTGGTCTATCATCATCAGTCTCACAGTTAATAGTTATTCCCTGTACTGGGCTGAATGGTAGCTTCCTAAAATTCATGTCTACCTACGAACCAGCTTTTCCTCTCCTGTGCTCCTGGGCAGCTGATGAGCTTTGGGCAGACATCATTATCTTTGCAATCACTAGTGACAATATCAGTTAGGAATAATGAGACTTTCTGAGATGTTAGTGACATTTCTTGGCCTTTTATTCTGGGGACTGGGGGACTGGCCTCCTGGTTATTGGCCCTGCCTGATGCAGAAATTGCATCTTAATTGTTTGCCACAGGCTGGGACCTCTTGTGGGTCAAGCATAGCTTCCTGAGGGATAAAACACTTATAGGTTCCAACATGCCTTGTAATTTTAGTTCTCTTGGAATGATTCGCTGTCATCCCGGGAGAAGCTAGGACTGCATTCCCATCACAGAGAAGAGGGAAGTCAACACTCCTGATGGCCACCTCTCTAGCCTGGGGAGGAGCCCAAGGCCCTGAGCCAGGCCAGCACTTGGGAATTGGCACAGGACACTGTAGTTAGTGGGACTGGAGGGGAGAATAGGGGGAAGGGAAGTCTGAGTCCCTGCAAAGGTAGGCTTGGGAAGTGACCCTGAGATATCCTGCTCAAGGCCCAGGTAGAAAGCACGGTTCCCCATCAGGCAGAATGGAAGACTAGGGAGAGCTCTCTTCAGGAGAGACTTTTCCACATCCAGCCCCTGAGGAAGAGTCCAGGTAGGGTTTGGAGAGGGGACGCAAGCTGCCAGCCTGTAGGATGTGACATAGTTTAGTGCCAGAAGCTAGGATAAGCTTAATAAATAAGGGGTCCTTTATCTAATCACTAACCCCCTCAAAGAGACTTTGGATCAATCACTCTAAACTTTCAGTTATCATTTAACTAGCTTTTAGGTGATGAGCCTATAGAAAGAGTTTACTCTTGTGCTTTTGATTAGTGGCCTATTGATTTTGGAGGGAAC